AAAGTCCTCACCTTGAACGCGCCCGGGATCCCATATGAGCGCCGGTTCTAATCCCGGCAGCTCCACTTCCCATCCAGCTCCCTGCTTGTGGCCTGGGAAAGCAGTCGAGGACGGCCCAAAGCTTTGGGACGCTGCACGCGTGTGGGAGACCCGGAAGAAGTTCCTGGTTCCTGGCTTTGGATTGGCAGGGGAGAGTGGGCAAACCCGATGGGGAAGCTATTGGAGATTCTAAGGTGGATGATGTCAGCCAGTGGATTCTGGAGAGATTTCATCGTGATTGGAATGGCGAGATTGGCAGCGATTCACAACTACTGAATTATCAAAACCACTTGAACAGGACCCTGGGATGGTTGGTAGGACAGGTGTGGCTTCTCCCCTTGTTTCTCCCATGCCCCCAGATACAGAAAGATAGAAAGAGAATGTGAAAATAATGATCTCATCCACTTTTCTCCAGTCCTTGACCACACTCTCATCCTAATCAAATATGAAAAAATGATAAAAAAAAAAGAGAGATTCTAACAGATGATTTATAGATAACAGATTCTTAACTGCCTTGGACATTAGGAAAAACCGTAGAGTCTGACAGCCTCGTAAAGGCCGTAACGTGCACAGAACAGGAGCGGATCCCAGGGTGGAGCAGGAAGAGGTGGTCTGTACCCCTGGTCCCAGTGAGACCCTGGTGGCTTCCCAAGTGCTTTTGCTGCAGAAGCAATGGACACTTCATCAAGGATTGTCAGAATGGACACCGAGACCATGTCCCAGCCGCCAAGGAGACCACTGGAAAGCTGCGTCCCCTCCTGGGGTAGGTCATTTCCTGTGGGATTTCCCACTCGGGACTGAAGCAGCCCAGGACCCTCCTCACAAGGTCTGCTGAGATCCAGAGCAGCAGCCAGGGGCGCCGGGTGGCTCTCAGAGTGTAAAGCAAGCCTGTAGAGTTCCTCCTGGACGCAGGACAGCAGCTTTCTCTCATCCTGAGTGCTAGCCTTGCCTCCACTCCCTCTCCTCTCTTACACTGACCATCAAGGGTCTCTCAGGAGCCCCACAATTAGCTCGGATAAAGACACAGAAAGTGAAGAACAGCCAGGAAAAAGTCAGCTGGTCTGTAGCTGCTCAGCCTGGACCTTACTGCTCAGGTTCCCTATTTGGCTTTTCCCAGACTTCGCTGGGAGCAATGTAGAGTTCAGTCAGTCCTGTCTCACTTGCTAAGTTATTGGGGATTTCTCTGCTCACCTGCCTAAGAGTCCTCCGTTCTTCCATTGTTAATATATGGCTTGTTAGAGTTATAAAACAGCTTTGATTATTCTGAAGTGCATAAAGTTCTGAAAAATCTTGCTAGAATGCTACTAACTGCTACGTTAAAATTATTATGGGTTAAGATTCTCCTCCAAAACTTTTCTTGATTCAGGACTATTAATGCTAAATAAGATGTAACTACATACAAACTTTGATGTTAAACTTGTGTTTAGATCTTATATGATGAGGCCCCATGGGGTGGCCTAGCAGCTAAAGTCCTCACCTTGAACGTGGCATTACATCTAAACTCAAAACTATGATAGCTTGGGAGAAATTATTATAACTATTATGATTCTTCCTTCTACCAAGGGGCCTCTAGACTGACTCCCTGGGGGATGCCCCGCGGCTGTGGCCCCCTCTCTCTGCCCTTTTTCAGCATGAAGAACCAGAAAGACCGTCAGCCCCTATTCCTGACCGCAGCCAGCGTCCATTCCCCTGGGGAAAAAGATGTTGAGGAGTTGGAAGGGATAAAGGCAGTTAGGGTCTCTGCTCCCTGGTGAAGTTACTCGTATAATATAAAATTTTGCTTCTCTCCATTTTCTGTTCTCCCTAGCTACATCCTTCAGGCCTAATTTACAAAACAAAGAAGGGGGTTTTGTGAAAGGACATTATGAATCTCTGCCAACATGGAGTCAGAGCTATTAATATGGAAATGAACAGACAAGAAATTCCCTAGTCCTCGGGTTTAGATAGCAGATCAAAGAGAGGTGCTTCCTCCCCCAGGCAGGGGAACAGGAACGAACAGACTTTGGAAAGGCACCTGCGAGATGAACAAATTGTGTGTTAAGGGAGTGTCTTTTGCTGTTGAAATGTGAATGCCTCAAACCCCCCCTCCCTGATGCCTACCTGATAATCTCTTTTTAAAAAATCTGATGCTGGGGGCCTAGCATGGTAGCCTAGCGGCTAAAGTCCTTGCCTTGCACACCCAGGTTCCCATATGGGCACCAGTTCTAATCCATCACCCTGGGACAGCAAACGGGATGATAGTTGAGGAGGGCGAAGGTTTTTCTTGCGGGGGTAGAGGTCAGTTTCTGGGAATGTGGCAAGCGCACAGATCTGAGTATACACTGAAAACCACAGACCTGTACACTCTACAAATGGACAAGTTTATGCCCTGGGAGTGTCTCAATCGAGCTGGTAACCATTCCCATTGCAAAATTAATACGAGTGAGTCCTTCCTGTGCTCCCCACACTCCCATGGTGCCCACCTCCCTGGCAGTGAAGCTAGGACTCACTCGAGGTGGCCCCCTCCCTCCTCCCTCAGTCCCGTTGCTCAGATGGGAACACAGCAGGCCTGATCCCGCTAAAAGAAGGGGATCCAATCATGGGGGGACTCAGGTCAAATCAGCAGCAAGGACCCCTTCTGCCTACTCTGGAGGCAGTCCAGGGTGGGGTCTTGGCAGCCCCTTGCTGCGTGGCCTGTCTCTGCCATGCTGCCCGTGGACAGGTGGCCGGCATTGCCATGCCTGTGGGAATGCCTCACCCCCGGGTCTCAGGGCCTGCTCAGCTCCCCTCCCTTGCTTGTCAGGCAGTGGGGAGTTAGGGGGATGAGAAGGAAGTTCAGGGAAAATAGCTGCAGCCCACCCAATCTGGCTGTTGCAGCCTTATGGGAAGTGAACCAAAGGATGGGAGATTTTTCTCTGTGTCTCTCCTCTCTGTAAATCTGCCTTCCCAATAAACATAAATAAATCTTTTAAAAAGCCAGAACTATCCCAATACAGATGAATTCACATCCACACACAGTGTGAGCAATGGGTTGCAGGCCTTTGGCCCACTGTTTGGGACGTCCAATAGCCCATATGGTCATGCCAAGATTCAAGTCCAACTCCTAATGCCAGCCGCCCACTGGCGCAGCCCTGGCAAGGTGGCAGGGATGGCTCAAGCGCTTGGGTCCCTGTATCCCATGTTGATGAGCTGGACTGAAGCCTCAGCTCCAAGCTGTGGCTTGGTCCATCCCCAGCGCCTAGAAGCATTTGGGAGCTCAAACCAGGAAAGAGAAGCTCTTTGCCTTGCAAAGAAATACATTTTTTGAAAGTAAAACAACAACAAAAATATTTACACTCTGTGTATATGTAATCCAATGCATGTAAATATCTAACTTTGCATGAGTATTACATGTAAACACATATGCATATGAAAGGGTTTCAAAATGAAAAGAATTTCCCATGAGCTTTGGGAAGCCTCCTTATTGTCGTAGGTGCAGGTACTTACAGAGCTTGATGTGTCCGTGACTGCAAACACAAAAGCAGAAAAGGATGCAAAAGTCTGGGCCCCCAGCACCCCTGAGACAGGGACTCGGGGGATTGCCTTTGCCCCCCAATTCTATGAAATCATACTTATATTTAGATTGCTAGTTATTTGCATTGAGATGTAGCCAACAAGATCTTCCACCCACTGGATCATGTCCGCCACATGTCCGCAAGGACCAGCACTAGAGCAGGCTGAAGCCAAGGATGCTTGAACCCCACCCTGGGTCTCCCACTGGGTGGCAGGGGCCCGAGGACATGAGTAATCACTTGTTCCCTGCTCTGAGGGTGTTCATCAGAAGGAAGCTAGGTCAGGAGTAGGGTAGCGGGGACTCAACCCAGGCCCTCATCAGTGCCAGAAATCAAACTAACAACATGCCAAGGGGTGGGGTGTAATGGCTACCATGGTAACCGGAGAAGGGCGGAGTTTGCCTCCAACCAAACCTAGAAGGATGGCAGAATTCTGGCGGGCCGCTCAGGCGGTGAGACCACCGTTGCACCAATGAAGGGCACAGACCCATTTCCCCCCACCAATAAAGGCCGAGATGACCCCTGTTTCAGCTTCCTTGTCAAGGAGAGTTTAAAAGGGCCCCTTCCCCGTCTCTTCCACGCTCTCCTTCCTCTGCAGCCCACTCCTTCACGTCTCTTCCTGCTGCACGGGGAAGGGAAGCCCGTGACCATGGTTCCCTGAAATAAAGGCCATCTGAATTCTTCTCACATATTTGGCCGGGTTATTCTTTCCCTGGTGGTCGGCGAATCTAACGTTTGATGAGTGGTGAATCTAACAGGATGGGAGGAAGCTGATGCCGGATCCCGGCCATCCCATCTTGGCTCTGGTCCCTAGCACCGCCCAAGCCGACAGGTGCTCAGTAAGCGTTCCTTTTTCGGAAGGTGATGTTGATGCCATTTCCCTCACAGAACAAGAGTCCCAAAAGGTATGGAACACTGTGCATTTATTTACAAAGAGGTTAGAGAAACACGCGGAATCTGGCCCCCTGTGCACCGGGGAGTCACCATTGTCATAATAAATACAGTGATTAAAAAAAAAAAAAAAAAAGAAAGTACTGTATTGGACCAGCTGAGTCATCAGGCTCCCCTCCCCCATGCCTTGCCAGGGGGCGCGCGGGTGAGCCAAAGATGCCTCGTCCTTCTCTCTTCCACCTCCCAGTCCTCCGTAGCTGGGGGAGGGAGGGACTGGACCCCCAGATCTCCCAGGTTGGTGCCCCGCCCCTTCCCAGGGTGCTCTGACCAGGACACCCCTAACCCAGGGACATGGAGGGGGGCACTTGGTGAGTGAGGGGGAGGGGCTGTATCTGAGATGGGGGGTGGGGAGGTCGTGAGCTTCTAAAGGAAGAAAATGGAGGAGCCTTCCTGCTTCCAGGAGGCCGGAAGCAGACCTGGATCAGACGGGGCTCCTCTGCCTTTCTTCCCGCAGGACAGGTGGGCAGAGCCCGCAATCCACTCAGACGTGATTGACAAGGGGTGGGGGCGGTGAGGAGGGTCTTTGGAAAGCGGTGGTCTTTGGAAGGTTCACGTGGAAGGGTCGGGGAGCGTGAAGGTGCAGAGACCACGAAGGGGGAGCCCCAGGCTAAGACCTCACCACTCCTCTCTCCAAACTCACACTGTAGTCATGACCTTGAGGGACCCTGAACGGAAACGCAGGATCTTTTTCTTCAGCGCGTGGGAAGCCTTGATCTTCACAAAGACTTTGGCGGGGCCGGCGGGCGCCCCTCCACCGGCTCCGCCCGCAGCCCCAGAGGCAGCCGTGGCCGCCACCAGCTGCTGGGGCCACACGAGGCCACCGCTGCCGTCCGAGTCGCTGGAGGCCGAGCTGAAGGCAGGCGACTCGCCCTCGCTGGCGCTCGACTCACTCTCCCCGTAGCCGCCACCGGCGCCTCCTGTGGGCCCGCGTCGGCCCAGCGGCCCCAGGCGTCCCGCCGAGCACTCCGAGTCGCTGCCCGCACAGCCATAGAGCAGGCGACGCTGAGGGGCCGACGGCGAAGGGCCGGGCACCGGGCCGCGTGCCGTGGGTGCCCGAGGCCGACCGCGGCGTCCATCCGCGGCGTCGATCTCGGCGGTGGAGCGCCAGCGACGGCAGGAGCCTGCGGCCTGGGCCGCAAGTGTGGGCGCCGGGCCGCGACGGGGCCTTGGCGGCCGAGGCTCCTCTCGTTCGGCTGTCGGGTACTTGGGGGGCCCCGTAGGCACGGCGGCAGCACGGCCCAGCAGGCTGGTTTCCGACTGAGAGCGCGCAGCTTTACGCGCCCTGGGCGAGCCCCGGCGGCCTGAAGAGGCCTCGGTCATGCGTCCACGGCGGCCCGTGGCCCGGGGACGCTCTCGGGGCGGTGACTGCTCGACGCTGCGACCACGAGTCAGCGGCGGCGCTTTGCGACGGGCTGCGCGCCCCGGCAGGCCACGGGTGGCAGCTTGGGCACCAGGGATGTATTGCGCCTTCACGAGGCGGCCCTCCGCCGGGCTGTCGGGGGGCGAGGAGACAGCAGGCGGCCCTGCTGGCTCGGGCGCCGCCTCCGACTCCCACTGAGAGGCCCAGGCTCGACTCAAGGCTGCGGCAGGGCTGGTGGGACGGCCCCCGACGCGCTCCACTGGAGGCTCAGGCGCGGGTCGCGCGCCTCCGGGGGGCGGGGACGCGTCGGGCGGCCGCTGGCGCACACTGTTCTGCCGCCGTGGGCCCCCGTCCGCGCCCCCGGGGCTGGTCCGGGGCTGGCCCGCCCCCCGGCGGCGGCGCCTGCGCAGGAGCGCCGAGATGTAGCCGTCCAGGGGTCGTCCCGCGCCCACCACCGCATCGGGTGAGTCGGCCGTGGGGGGACGGGCGCAGGGTCGCGGGCTCCGCAGCGCCACGGCGTGCAGAGGGCTGGGTGTCAGGAAGGGCCCGGCGCGGGCCCTCCGCTCAGCGGATGAGCAGGCTTCGGGGCCTGTGGGCCCGGCTGCTGTCGGATAGGGCGCCGAGAAGGAACGCGGCACAGCTGCCCGCACGCCCACCGCCTCTGGAGCACTGGGACTGGCATCTCCTAGGACAGGGAGAAGAGAGTGGAGGGGCTATCAAAGTCCTTCGCCCCCATCCCCACCCCCACCCCGCAGCCTGCGAGGGGCCGGTTGCCTGCCGCCCTCCCCATCTCCACCTCGTGGAGTCATCACTGTCACTCCTTTCTCACGCGGGATTCATATCAGTTTCACAAGGGCCTACTGGGTGCTGTAGTTCCTGTTCTGAAGCCGTACCGGCCTGGATGCACCTGCCAGGCTACGTGACCCAGCCCCAAGGATGGGGGTGAGGGTGGGGGTTGGCTTTGCACCTGCCATTCCTACTTCCCCACCCAGGCTCACCCCTTCACTTACTGCAGGTGCCCCATCCAACGGCCCAGTCACAGCCCAGCCCTCCCTGGGCAAATGTTCTACAATGGCAGTGTGGCCCTATGCTCAAAGGGACACCTTCAAGTCCCTTGCTGTGGTTGGTTTTTTGCTGTAAGCACGCCAGTGTCTGGCGATCTGCATGCAAGGAGGTCCACGGAGAGGCGGGCCTGGTCGTGCAACAGGTAGACACCAACTTGGGAGGATTGTGTCCCGTATCAGAGTGCCTGACTGTAGTCGTAGCCACTCCACGTGCACTGGAATTAACCCATTCTCACAGCTCCCCCAAAGGAAGGGACCCCACTCTAAGTCACAGGGAAAGGAGCTGTCAGAACCAGCACAACCCCCCAGGGCTGCCCTGCTGTCCTTTTCCTGGCTTTGGGTACCCCAGCCCAGCCCACCTTACCTAGGGACTTGGGCCTCTCGCTGGCATAGATGCCCCGGGGCTCTGAGGGCCCCAAGCGCCCGTAGGAGCTGGAGCCGGAGAAGCCACTGTCCCCACAGAAGGTGGATGTGGGAGAGTCTGCACCTGCTGTGGAGCCGGGGTCTTCATAGAAGCCTGGGAGAAGCGGAGGCAGTCAGGAGTGGGGAACGGGAATGCCTGAGACAGAAGCCCAGGGCAAGGATGGGAGTGTCCCAGGAAGGCCCTGTCCCCTGCCCCCCTCCCTGCCCGCGTGACTCACCTGAGCTGCGCCCGCTCTCCTGCTCCAGGCCCCCAGACTCCAAGCTCAAGTCTCCCAGCTGCTGTCCCAGGTCCCAGATGAGGCCGGGCAGGGCCTCCTGGGGGTGTGGGGAGAGCAAGATGGTCAGAAGGTCCCCAGGCCTCTTGCCCACTGGGCCCCATTCTTGAGCCCTTGGGCAGTTTCTGACTAGGCAGAGACCCCTCAAGATCAGTCCCTTTTTCCCCACTAGGAAGTCCCTTGAGCTGTCTACCTGTGAGTCTTCATGCTGTATCCCATACCTTCTTCCCTTCTCAATACAAGGTGGAGAGGGGCTGCAGCACCTGCCCCTTGCTACTGCAGATACCCCCATCTCACTCTCAGCCTCCAAACTCCTCTTAGAATGCCCTCCCCCCACCTACCCCTTGAGTCTAACTTCAGGTTCCTTGCCTAAAACGTAGTGTCCGGCACCTGGCCTAGCCCTGAGCCGTCAGCCTGCCTTCTCTCAGGCACAGACCCACCTTTGCCAGGTGTTGCCAGTTCCCACCTAGCCTCCATCGGAAGTCCTATTGCAAGTCTGCCTCAAGTCCTTTGTTGCTGCCCACTACCCGTCGCTCGCCTCTCCTGCCTCTGTGGCCAGTGGCTGTCCCAGCTGCTGGGCCCGAAGAAAGTTCTGTGAACCCATCCCGAGGCCTTGGTGCTGGGGCGTACACACTTTCCTATCAGGTGTGAAGAAGGTGAAAACCCTCTTCAGGAGGATGAGCATACTGCAGGGCAGTTAGGCCGCCCTGTGGGAAACCCAGGTCCCGCACTGGCGCACCTTTGGGTTCAAGTCCCTGCTTCGCTCCAAGTCCAGTGTTCTGCTGGTGTAACCCTCCTGGCAGCAGGCAGGAGATGGCTCAGGTGCCTGCATCCCCATCACCCAAGTGGGAGATCTTGATGGAGTTCCTGGCTTCTGCTTAACCCCACTCCCTGCTATTGCAAGCATCTAGCAGAGGTAGGGGAGGGGAGCGATTTGAACCAGCAGCCGGACAATCTGTCTTTTTAGTCTTTTGAATAAGACAAAAATAAAATCGTAAATTTTTAATGGTTATTATTATTAGAGTGGGATGGAACGGGTGAGGGGAAGAAAGCTTTTTTATGGTGTGGCCGTGACCTTCTGGGGGTGGGTGTAGAGTGAGGAAGAGCAGAGCTGGACCACCGCAGATGAAGTCTCTGAGACCCAAGATGCTGTGTGGGACAGCCGCAAGGCCAGGGCCAAGGGGACGTCTCATGGGCGGGGTCTGAGGGGTTTGAGGCAGGGCAGCGGGGTAGCCCCAGCAGGCTGCCCGTTAAGCCACACAAAAGCAGCTTGTCTGGGAAGCTGCAAGGAGGGAGAAGGCAGGGAGGAGGGGCCAGCAGGCCTGCCATCCAGTTCTGCCTATTTAGGGCAGAAAAGACTGGCCAGTCCGTGCCCCTCCTCCCCAGTCCCCCTCTGCATTGCAGCCACCACTCACCCCCAGCACCGACTACCCAGGCTGGACTGTCCACACCCCCAACCCCACCCTGGGGAACAGAAGCCCCCATCTGGGCTTGTTTATACAAAGGAGGTCAACAAATCATTAGGGGCTCCTGCCCCAGGGAGATACAAAGACGTTCCAGACGGAATCGCCTGCAAGCTGAAGAGTTCAGAAAAGGCAGGATCCACTGTGCAGCCTCAGGGAGTGGCTAAACACAAAACAAAAAAATCCCCCAGTGCTCAGGTACGCAGGCTGGGTGTGAGTGTGCGGGCCTCCCTGCAGCTCCTGCGCTTCTTGTCCTGCAGCGCGTGCCCTTGTTTTAGTCATGTCTGTGCGGATGCCGCCCCGTCATCCAGTGCCCCTGCTCCTCCCGGGTCCGGCCTCCCACTGTGCACGCAGCGGTAATGACCTCAAAGCTTCAAACTATGCAGAAGGATCTCATTCCTAGAAAGTCAGTCTCCCCCCACCCGGGAGAGCAGAGACAGAGTTGTTCTGGCTTGCACAACCAGCCACACAGCTGGCTGCAAGAGAGTACTACATAGCCCTGAAAAGGGACTGGAGTGAGAGTGGAAAGGGAGAAGTTGAGGTGGAAACTGAGTGGATCAAGAAGGGATGAGGGGTTCAGGATAACTGAGCCACTGTCTGCCACATCCACTTGGGGACCAGGTTCATGTGGTGTGGTGGTACTGGTCAGAAGGTGCCCAGACTGGAAACATCCCTAGCCTGCTCCCTGGGACCCCAACCAAGAACTACAAATTGCAAAGTGCAGTTTTTTTGTTTTGGTTTGTTTTTTGTTTTTTTTTTTTTGTAAAAATATGACATGTCCCAGTATGTTTCTGGAGACAAATTAATTGAGAGATACTTGGCTAGACTCAAGACCAAGGTGTGTGTGGGTGTGTGGCAGAGGAACAACAGGAGTGCATGCAGGGACCAGCTGGATGTAAGGAGCAAGGGAAGATGAGGGTACCCTGGTAAAAGCAAGTGTGAGGAAGGCAGGCGTGGACTGGGCCTGCCGGGGCCGCCCCCTAGGCATGTGACTGGACAAGGTGGCTTCACCAGCCTGGGCGTCAGTTTTGTTCTCTGTAGCATGGGTACCCTCGGATTTTTTCACGAGGATTAAACAGGTTCAAGCCACTTAATCCGTGCTAGCCTGCATTAGTAGGCAAAGAGCCACGGATTCACTACCCGGAAAAGACAAAGTCACGTGTGACTTGTACAATGCAAAGTAAGTGGAGGAGGATGGCCTGGGAGAGGAAGTGCTACAGGTCTCCTCTGAATTTTCTCGTTGCAGAGAAGAGCAGGTGTTGGGGAGTCGTCTGGAGGGGCTCCCCGCTCCATAGCATCTAGAACCCCCAAAGCCCCCCTCCTCCAGACCTGCACACTCCCATTTGCAAGTCTGAACTCACCCCTTCCTACTGCAAAGGGTGCATCTTTAGACCAGAGGGTGTGCAGGGCATAGCCCCCCACCAGCACACGGGGGAGTGGGCTTAGGAAACCTTACACGGGACATGCTAGGATCCCTGGAGACCCTTTTGCCCCCCAGGTCCCCAGACTTTTGTTCCCAACGCCCTATCTGCTGCCCTCTGGCTCAGGATCTGCTGGGAAGTCCTTCTGGGAGTCTGATTGAAGTCCCTCCTGCTGGAAGGCAACTTTTCCCTTCTCAGATGCAAAGACCCAGCCCCGCCCCCCCCACCCCTGCTATGCCCCAAAGATGTCTTGTTGGGCATTCAAAATTCTGCCTAGAAAGTCACCATGTCTAGCTGCAGTCCTTGTTACCCCTGGGGTATGGTGGGGAGGGCAGGGGAGAGGCAGCAGGATGAGCACCCTTAGAGTACCGCCTCTTCAGAAGGACCCCAGGAACCCACCCCCCTCCAAGGGGGTTATATTTAGCGCGCCTCCGCTCCTCTCTGGGAGCCGCTGTCTCCCTCCCCCCCAACCCCGGGCCCCCTCCTGCCTGCCACCGCCTCCTCCCAGAGGCTGGGTCCAGGAGATGGGGGGTGGGGGGCGTGAGGACCTGGCAGGGCCGGGAGTGGGGGCGCTGGAGGAGCCACAAGGGTAGAGGGGGGAAAGGACCCAGCCAGCCCAGGCTCCTCCCGGCCCCGCCCCACCCCGCCCCGTAGGGGTGGGAGGCGCCTTCGGAAGCCCAGGCAGCCCAGGGTGGGGGGAGTGGGGGAGCCAGAGAAGGCACCCCCCACCCCGCGCCCCGCCGGCTCTAACTTTGGGAGGGGGTGGGACCTTCCACAGCTGTTTCTGTTTGCAGGGAATGTGCAGGGTCCCGCGGCCGGCCGGGGGAGGGGCTGAGCCGCAGTCAGGCTGCAGCCCCCTTCCTACTTCCCATCTGGGGAGGGGGCAGTCGAGGTCAGCAGGAGACAGAGCCCCCTCCTCCGGCCCGGCAGCTCAGGTTTCCCCAAACGGGAAGCTCTGACCACACACACACACACACACACACACACACACACACGCACACACACACACAGCTCTGCGGGCTGGGGTGGGGGTGATGGAGGGGGAGGGGAGGAGAGGGCCCGAGCCGGGGCGTAGAGATGGGAGAGGGGCCAGGCGAGCCGGGATGGAGTGGGAAGAGCGTATGCGAGACCCCCAGGCCCCAGCCGTGGGGGGCACTCGGGAATGACCAACAGAGGGAGGCAGGGCGCTTCTTTTCAAGTCGTTTTGGAAACCCGGTTCGCTCGTGCCTTCCACCAGGAGAACCCGGGGCGGTCCAAAGTCAGGGCCCTCCTGCCGTTCACCCTGCGTCCTCCAGAGTGCCCAGCAGGGCTGGGTCCAGGTAGAACCCCCGCCCCCCGAGCTGGAGAGGCCCTGCGATCCCCTCCCCCAGCATGCCCCCTGCGGAGATCTCCAAGCACACCAGGGACTTGGGGAAGATGGAGCCTTGGGAGTGTGTGTGTGTGTGGGGGGGGGTCCGGGCAGAGTGGAGAGGGACGTGCCGGATCCAGGCCGGCCGTGTGACCTTGGACCAGTCACTTCCCCCCTCCTGGAGCCTCAGCATCCTGCTCCATCAAATGGGGAGACTCTCTCCACCCCGGAGCTCCCCAACTGCAAGGAGACAACGCATCCAAAGTCCTCGGACCCGGACCCGACACATCCTTGGGCGTCCAAGAAGAATTTTCTGTGGGGGGCAGGGCACTGTGGGCTCCTGGGGCCTATGGCGGCGGCAGATCCGGAGGGCTGGGGGGCGGCCAGGGAAGGCCAGGACCCGCCCGCCGCCCGGACTCCGGGGTCTCCAGCCCTGCCCGTTGTCCTCGCTCCTCCTTCCCTGCTCTCCGTTCCTCTCCTCACCCCCACGAGTCGAGACCGAGGTGTGAGCATCCAACCCAGACAGACTGACACGGACAGACACCGGGGTGGAGGGGACGGACGGACAGGAGGCCCCTCACCAGCTGCTCCTCCAGGGCGGCTGCGGCCCGGCGCGCCGCCGCCGCATCTTCGTCCTCGTCGGCGTCCTCCTGGTCGTCGGCCTCGGCGCCCCCCATTCCGGGCTGGGCCAGCCGCAGCGCCTGCCGCACGCGGTACTCTTGCCTCTCCCGAAGCCAATGCAACTCGCAGAGCCCGGCCAGGCTGCCCTCCAGCCAGCCCCGCAGCCGGCCCCGCTCGGGGCTCACCGGGAACGAGAAGGCCCGGATCATGGCTGCGGCCCCCCGCCCCAGGCCGGCCGGGCCCCGCGGCCACCCCGCGCTCCCGGTCCCACCTCCCCGCCCGCCCGCCCGCCTGCTCGCGCGCCCGCCCGCCCGCCCGCTGGCCGGGCTGTCACCGTCTCATCTGCATAGGCGCCCGCCCATTGGGCCGCCCACCCGCGCCTCATCTACATGGCCACGCCTCCCCAGCGCCCGAGCCACCGTCGCCTATTGGCCGATACTCTTCCTGACGAAGACGCTGGGCGGGTGCTGCCTCACAGGACGCATGCTCGCAGCTACCTACTCGCGGTGCCTCGCCACGCCCCCCCCTGCGAGCCAGCCTCCCGGTGCTGGCCACGCCCTTCACTACGCGTCACAATGAAACAAGCCCGCCCTTGCTCCTGTGCCATTGGTCCGTGCCTCTCCGGATCCACCCACTTGCGGGCGAGCTCTGGCTGCCATTGGGCCGTTCGGCTGGAGGGGGCAGGGTGAGCTATAAATAGAGGCTGGATCCACGTGACAAGTTGGCAGCTGCTCCTGGTCGGGTGTTCTCCCTGCGCAGAGGGAGAGCTGAGTGAGAGAGGGTCGAGATTTGATGTCGACTCCTCTTCCAGGAAGCCTGCCCGGGCATACAACTCTTAAGATGGATGCTGTCGGATGGAAGCCGGCTTCACTGGCGTGAGGTTCTCTCAGGATCGCCGCGCCCTTTTGCAATGGTCTGCCTCGAAATCCTTGGTTTTGAGCAAGGGGCCCAACAAATGGTGTGTGTGTTTAGCTTCTAAGGTGGCTAAAGCTGATCGGTTTGGGAGCCCAAATTCTGGAATTTAAAAGAAGATTCTGAGAGCTGACCAGAGACCAATGTGAGCGTCTTTTGTCTGCCCAGGGCCCTGAATCCAGGGAGCCCTTTGTCCATGGTTCTGAGGAGCATTGTTCGGTCTTGTAAGATGCTCTGTTCTCCGGCCCCGTGCTCCGGGGCAGCCCGAGCCTGAAGCTCCCATTCCTGGCCTGGGGGAGGCTGTGGGGGGAGGCTGAGGTGTCCCCTCAGGTGGCCTGCCTGTGTCCCCAAGCCCGGAGAACCTCTACCTTTCCCAGGCAGAACTCTCCAAAACCTAGGGACAAGAGGAACATGAGACCTCGTCCCATTTTTTCTTAAATTAATTTTTACTTATCCGAAAGGCAGATTTACAGAGAGAAGGCGAAAAAGATTAAGATCTTCCATCCACTGGTTCACTCCCCAAGTGGCCAAAACAGACGATACTAAGCTGATCCGAAACCAAGAGTCGGGGCTTCTTCTGGATCTCCCACAGGGGTGCAGGGTCCCAAGGCTTTGGGCCGTCCTCCGCTGCTTTCCCAGGCCACAAGCAGGGAGCTGGATGGGAAGTGGAGCAACCAGGGTGCAAACCGGTACTCATGTGGGATGCCGGCACTTACAGGTGGAGGATTAGTTGAGGATCATGCCAGCACAACCTCCGCCCCCAACCAACCAAGATTTCAGTAACCAGGCCTTGGCCAGGCTGAAGTCAGGAACCTGGAACTCCATTTGGATCTCAGTGGGTGGCAGGAATCCAAACCCTTGGGCCATCTACTGCTGCTTTTCCAGGGAGCTGCACATTAACCCAGTCCCTGGGCTTTTATCCTCTTGTGATGTAGAATCCAGAAGTCCAGGGTCACGGTAGAGGCAGGGATGCAGGGGCAGGTGCAGCCTCCCCATGTTGGCTGGCCGATGGCAGCCTACCCCTGCTGCACAGCTTGAGGCGCTAGGGTTAGAGTTAAGGTTAAGGAGGTTAAGGAGGTGAGGCCCTCCCCTTTCCCCCCTTACTTGAGGGCTGGCTCTCAGGTGAGACTGAGTCTGTCCTGTTTGATACATCTAATGGGACGACCACTGGCCACAGGGACAAAATGCATTCTGTGTGAGATGGAAACCCTCCTAACCCCGCTGTGGCAAGAGGCCTGGGTACCAGGTAGGAGAAGATTCTAGTAAAATCCGTGCTGGAGCCTTCTTGCCTGGGAAAGCATTTCATCATGGAGAAAGTATGCAGGCCGTCACTAGGACGCAAGCCTGCCTGGGGATTCTGGAGGCTGCGTGAACTCACTGGCCTGGGCATCCAGGGGCCTGTAGGAACCTGTCCCTGCTCTTGCTCCCAGCATCCCAAGACTGTTCTTATAAATGGACTACACTTGTTCAAGGTCATTTTTAAAAATTTATGGCAAGCCGGATATACAGAGAAGAGGAGACAGAAAAGAAGATCTTCTGTTGATGGTTCACTCCCCAAGCGACCGCAATGTCCAGACCTGAGCCGATCCAAAGCCAGGAGCTTCTTCCAGGTCTCCCATGCGGGTGCAGGGTCCCAAGGCTTTGGGCCATCCTTGACTGCTTTCCCAGGCCACAAGCAGGGAGCTGGATGGGAAGTGTGGCTGCTGGGATTAGAACTGGCGCCCATATTGGACCCTGACATGTTCAAGGTGGGAATTTTAGCTGTTAGGCCACCGCGTCAGGCCCAAGTTTTTTTTTTTTTTTATTATTATTAATATTATTTTGTTGGCCTGGCACAATGGTTCAATTGGCTAATTCTTCCAAATTGCAGTGCTAGCATCCTATATGGGTGCTTGTCCATGTCCTGGCAACTCTACTTCTCATCCAGATCCCTGCTTATGGCTTGGAAAAGCAGTCAAGGATGGCCCAAAGCCTTAGGACCCTGCACCCGTGTGGCAGACACGGAAGAAGCTCCTGGCTTCAGATCAGCTCAGCTCTAGTCTTGTAGCCACTTTGGGAGTGAGGCAGTGGATGCAAGATATTTTTTTCTCTGTTTCTCCCTGCCTCTGTAAACCTGACTTTCCAATTAAAATAAATCTTACAAAACAGAACACCGTACTTTTTTTTCTTAAAAAGGTTATTTTATTTAGTTGGAAGGCAGCCACAGCAAGGGAGAGAAAGATCATCATTATACCAGTTCATTCTCCAAATGTCTGCAGTGACCAAGGCTGAGCCAACCTGAAGCCAGGAGCTTCTCCCGGTTCTCCCATGTGGGTAGCACTTGGCCCATCCTTCCTGGATCCATTGGCAGGAAGCTGGATCAGAAGTGGGAGTCATAGGCCAGGGCTTACCTTGTGGCCTCCTCCCCTTCATGGATAAAGTCCTTTCCTTCTCTCCATCATGTGTGATTTTTCTTTTTTTTTAAACAGGAAGACAAACTTACATAATTTACATAAAGAGGGAGAGACAGAAAGATCTGCTGATTCACCCCCAGTCACAATGGCCCAGGCTGAGTCAATCCGAAGCCAAGAGCTTCCTCCCGGTCTCCCTCACGGGTGCAGGGTCCCAAAAGATTTGAGCCATCCTATGCTGCTTTCCCAGGCCACAAGCAGGGAGTTGGATGGGAGGGGAAGCAGCTGGGCTGAAATGAAACCAGGAGCCAGCAGCTTCCGCCAAGTGTCCCACGAGGGTGCAGGGACCCAAGCACTTGAGCCATCCTCTGATGTTTTCCCAGGGGCTTAGCAGGGAGCTGGACCAGAAGCAGCACAGCTGGGAGTTCAAGATAATGCCCACAGGGGCTTCCAGTGTGGCAAGCGGCTTTACCAGCTAAGCCACCAAGCTGTTGATGGTTGTTATCAGGACCCACCCAGGGGGTACGTCTAGTGGCTTGCCTTCTTTCAGGTCGTGCCCCCACTCTGTCCTCCATTACTCTTCCTCTTCTCCCTGGCTTCGCTCCTCCATCTGGCCCCCCAGGGCCTCCCATTGCATCTCTACCACAGGCTGCCTTTGGTCGCCTCTCCCCGTTGCCCTGACCTCCTGCTCAGCTGGAGGAGCTCCATCTTGGAGAACAGGCCGGCAGCTCAGGAGTGGGGTGCGGCCAGAGGCCGAGAAGAGTCTGTTTTAATGACCAGGGACAAAGGAGAGGCTTGGGGGGTGGGGGGTAGGAGGAGGATGACAACCCCCACTCCCTCCTCCCAGTCCAGCCTGCCCCCACAAGTTCCCTCGCATCCTCCGAGAACAGTCCTGGGTTGGGCTGGGGCAGCAGCCGGTGGTGGGACATTGCCTCAAAGGACGCTGACGCGCTCGGCCAAGCCCTGCATCTCATGGTCCTGGGGCAAGCAGGCCCTGCCCAGCTCCCCGGCAAGGGACGTTCCAGGAAGAGGCTGCTCTGCCATGAACTGCTCCCAGCGCGCATCGTCGCTCTCGTGCGTGATGTACCGCTCGCCCATCTTGCTTTCCAGCTCCCGGAGGTCCAACCAGGTCTGGTACTCCTAGGCCCGAGAGAACAGGGGTTAGCTTGCCAGCTGCACTGAAGGCAGTAAGCCGATCCTGAAGCTTGTCAATGAAAGCGAAGCCACACCCCCTTGCTAATTGCACAGCCAGTAGAAATATGTTTCAACCCTCTCCCCGCAGCCCAGCCAATAAGAAACTCAGCTATATTCCCAATCACTACCTGCCAGTCAGAAAGAGAGCTAACTAGTCCCACCCCCTTCCTCCAACCCAGCCAATGACTAGCTGAGCTTCCTGCATCACCTGCAACCACGAGTGGCTGAGAGATTTGTCCACGCTGTAGCGCTTGCGCATCTTCACCTGCAGCAGGTTGTTGATGAGGTCGATGGCTGCAGGGGAAGGAGAGAGGCGGTTCGAGTCCTGCCTGGGGAGGAGTTCACTCTGCTCCAACAGGCCACCCCAGCCTGCCCGTCTGCCCTATCCCATAGGGCGGGGACACACCTCAGCAGTGCCAGCCACCCATTTCTTTAAGACTTGTTTTACTTTTATTGGAAAGTCAGATATGCAGAGATGAGGAGAGACTGAGAGGAAGATCTTTAGTCTGATGAGACACTCCCCAAACAGCCACAACAGCCAGAGCTGAGCTGATCCTAAGCCAAAAGTCTGGAGTCTCTGCTGGGTCCCTCACATGGGTGCAGGGTCCCTAGACTTTGGGCCATCCTTGACTGCTTTCTCGGGCCACAAGCAGAGAGTTGGCTGGGAAGTGGAGCAGCCAGGATTAGAGCTGGCACCCACATGGGATCCCGGA